TGTCTTTCAGGCCAGAGGGTTTCCCTTACTTTCTCTGATGCTGCTTCTGTAGGGCTGCCTCTGATAACTGTCCCTGAAGGATCAGTCTTCTCTGCTTATCAATATCTCCTTCCATTCGGGCAAAAGCATGAGAGCCAATGAAAGAGAGGTCAGCTCCCAAGCCTTCTTCCTCCTCTTCTTGGTCGTCTGTAACAAAAACACCAGCAATAGAGAGCTGAGGACAAAACTTGACTGTAAATGCTACAAACAGATTGTGAATGCCCAACAGGGATGACTATGAGCTAGCTCAAAAGAACAGAATTAAGGTTATATTTTGAGAATGAAAATGAAATCCGATTTAGGCATCTGAAGAATTGAAATAATGAAGGAAAGCAACAAATGTTTGGGGTCATTTATCCAGAGCCGTTTAAGGAGGGAGCACCTGATTGGCTGGCACATAAACCTCAGACCTTTGGTCAGGGCACCAAGGAAGGAAGATGTTAGGTATGGTTTTAGAAGACCTTGTTGAAGCTGTTGAACATTTTAGATGATAATGTACAGGACTACTGTCTCAACAGTGTCCTGTATCAACTTCATGAGGGCAAGAATGTTGTTATATTCACCTCTGAATTTCTATTGCCTAACACAGACCTGACATAGACATGTATTTAAAATTTTTATTTTATTTAAAGAGTAAATCTTAACAAGAATAAGACTCTAAAAACCACTAAGTTGGTCTTGATCTCAGTGTCACACTAACAGACACATACTCCCCACTTCTGTGATCAATCCCTTCCCTTCCTTAAGAGGGAGATGAGAAAGGTAGAACTCACCTTCCGGGGCACCAGGTTTCTCACTTATTCGAATCTGCCGTTCAGGTACCACAGGCTCCCCTTCTGCATTTCCAATATCTGCAGGCAGGTACGGCAATGACCGACCCTCCTCCTTTAATGACCTTGGGAAGTACAGAGGGAGCAGCTTTTGGTAAGTAGCCTGTGTCGGAAAAGCAAGACATTCTGTGACAAATCACGAAGTAATGAAGCAGGCACCTCAGTGCTTAGTGCTACTCAGACACTGTGAAGAGAGCCTCCATCAGGGAGGAAGACCTCCCCTGCTCTAAGCTCAGAGCAGATGCTGTCTGGGACCTCCTTCAGTTTTGTGTTAAAGATCAGGACATCATTAGCTAGTTAAACATGGCTCCCATTCCGGCAATTCCCGGTGACTGAACCTGGAATGCGCAGGTCCTGCCACTCCTGTCTCCTCCTCACCCTTCACCTTACTAACGACATGTCTTTCAAGATTCGGCTCAGATGCTCCTCCACAATGCTCAGTGAGCCATCAAGGTCCACTGACCGGGTTTAATTTTTGAGTATTTTTAATATTCATTATGGAGAATTGCTATTTCAAGACCTTTATTCTTCATTAGAGGTTTCCCAAAGAACAAAGGAAAAATCTTTTTTAAAAATGAGAATGACACTCATTCTATTTTATAATTTCCATATGAGTTGGTTCATTTGACTCATTTATAAATCCATGATACATCATAGGCATTTAGTGCTCTTATTTTTCCTGTATCTTTTTCATCATCCTAGAAATTATTTTATCATTAACCATTAATTATTCCTGATACTAAAAAGAAAACCAAAAAACTAAAATAGTATAAAAAAACAAAGAATGATAGAATTGCTTAAAAAAACAATGAAATCATTCAAGAAATCATGTCAGTGTTCTTACTGTTCACCTGTAATATTGCATCATCTTTCATGTATAGACACATAAGAAGAGGCACCATTTTTATAGCCTTTTTAAAAAACTGAGATGGAATTCACGTACTATAAAATTCACCCTTTTAAAGTATTATAATTCCATGGGTTTTAGTATATTCACAAAGTTGTAGAACCATCACCATTATCTAATTCCAGAACATTTTCATCATCCTGAAAAGAAAACCTAAGCTCATTAGCTAGGTCATCCCCATTCCTCTCTCCCTGACACTGGCAACCACTAATCCACTGTCTGTATGGATTTGCCTATTCTGGACATTTCATA